GAAATTATAAATACCCCCCAACCCAGCCATTGCACTACTACGTATTTATCCAAGGTATACAGGTGTGCTGTTGCTGTTTCAAAGGGACACAGGCACCCCAATGTTTATAGCAGCATTATCAACAATAGCCAAAGTATGGAAAGAGCCCAAATGTCCATTGATGGATGAATGAATAAAGAAGATGTGGTATATATATACAATGGAGTATTACTAGGCAATCAAAGAGAATGACATCTTGCCATTTGCAACTACGTGGATGGAACTAGAGGGTATTATGCTAAGTGAAATTAGTCAGAGAAAGACAAATATCATATGTCTTCACTCATATGAGAACTTTAAGATACAAAACAGATGAACATAAGGGAAGGGAAACAAAAATAATATAAAAACAGAGAGGGGGACAGAAACATAAGAGACTCTTAAATATGGAGAACAAACAAAGGATTACTGAAGGGGTTGTGGGAGGGGGGATGGGCTAAATGGGTAAAGGGCATTAAGGAATCTACTCCTAAAATCATTGTTGCACTATATGATAACTAACTTGAATGTAAAGTTAAAAAATAAACTAAAATAAAATAATAAAATAAAATAAAAACATAAACAAAATTTTTAAGGAAATTATAAAATACTTCTAGATGAATTAAAATGAAGACACAGCAGACCAAACCTCATGAGATGCAGATTAAGCAGTACTTCGAGCTAAATCTTTAGCTGTAAATGTTTACAAAAGAAGAAAGATCTCAAGTCAGTCATTTTTACTTTGAGAAACTAGAAAAAGATGAATAAAGGGAAACTAGGAAAAGATAAATAAACTAACCCCAAAGTAAGCAGAAGAAAATAAAGATTAGAATGGAAATTAATGAGGGGCGTCTGGGTGGCTCAGTCAGTTGGGCATCCAACTTTAGCTCAGGTCATGATCTCACATTTCATGGGTTCGAGCCACGTGTTGAGCTCTGTGCTGATAGCTCAGAGCCTGGAGTCTGCTTTGGATCCTGTTTCTCCTGCTCTCTCTTCACCTCCCCTGCTTGTCCTCTGTCTATTTCTCTCTCAAAAATAAATAAGCATTAAAAAAAATTTTTTTAGAATGTAAATTAATAAAATGGAGAATACCAAAGCAAAGGAGAAAAAAAAGCAACAAAATTGGAATTTGTTTTTTTTAAAGATCAACAAAATTGGGAAATCTTTAGCTGGGCTTATCAAGAAAAAAAAAAAAAAACAAGATTCAAATAACTGAAATCAGGAATGTAAAAGCAGACATCACTACCAACCTTCAGAGATAACAAGGATTAATGAGAATATGATAAGTAATTATTTACCCATCAATTAGACAACCTTGGTGAAATGGATGAATTCTTAGATGAAAACTATCAAAACTGACTAAAAAATAAACAGGAAATCTGAATAAACCTATAGCAAGTAAAGAGACTGAATTAGTAATCAACAAACTTCCCACAAAGGAAACCCCAGGACCAGTTGACTTCACTGGTAAATTCTACCTAACACATAAAGAAAAAATAAAACCAAATCTTCACAAATGCAGCCCAAAAGTAGAGTAAGGAATACTTCCCAACTCATTCTAAGAGGATAGTATCATCCTGACATGATTATATACCATGATCAAGTGGAATTTATACCAGAATATAAGACTAGTTCAAAATATGAAAATCAATTAATTTAATACCCCATGTTCATAGAATAAAGGACAAATCCAAATTAATATCTCAACAGAGGCAGAAAATCATTTGACAAAATCCAATATTCTTTCATGAAAAAAAAAATACTCAACAAACCAGGAATAGAAGGTAATTTCCTCAACCTGATAAAGGCCATCTAAGAAAAACCCACAGCTAACCTTATAACTAATGATGAAAGACTAAAAGCTTTCCCCAAAAGATTAGAAACAAGAAAAAAAAATGCCCAATCTTGCCACTTCTATTTAGGCTTTATTCAAGGTCTAGGCAAGAAAAAGAAATTAAAAAACATCCAGATTGGAAAGAAAGAAGTAAAACTAATCAAAGACAGCATGATCTTATATATGGAAAATCATACGGAATCTGAAAAACTTATTACAGCTAATAAACAAGTCCAATAAGGTTGCAGAATAAAATATCAGTATAAAAAAATCAATTGTATATCTACATGCTAGCAAAGCATAATCTGAAAATGATATTAAGAAAATAATTACATCTACAATAGGAGCAAAAAGAATAACATACTTCAAGATAAATTTAAAAAAGAAATACAATATTGGTAAAGTGAAAACTATAAAACATGGTTGAAAGAAATTAAAGAAGATCTGAATAAATGGAAAACATCCCATCAAATGAAAGGCTTTTGTGCTTCAAATGACACTATCAAAAAGTGAGACAATAACCCATAGAATGTGAGAAAATATTTGCAAATCATATATCTGATAAGGAACTTGTAATATAGAATATATAAAGAGCTCTTAGAACAATACAAGATAACCCAGTTTAAAAATAGGCAAAATATTTCTCCAAGGAAGATATACAGGGGCGCCTGGG